CCCCCCCCCCCCCCGGAACTACCTCCCGGCCAACAACTCAAAGCGATATTCATCGCTTTCCGTCATCGTAGAACAGTCGTGATGATGATGATGATGATGATGATGATGATGATGATGATGATGATACTTGGACAGTTCAATTTGGTAGCCGTTCTATACAAAGAACCCTTCGCAGGTGCTTTCCGGGGAAGAGAAAAGGTCTAAGAGTCTCACAGTTACAAAAATCAAAAAAGGGGAACGTCTGAAATCCGCACTTTCTTGACTGGGCCCCGCCCATCCACCAACTGTTGGGCCCCGTTGAGACTGTTCGGCCTTGGCCGTTCGTGAGGTCCCGGCCCAGCTGCTGCCCACGTTCCGTCCCACCTGTCGACCAATAGGCTGAGGCTCGTGCGTTGGTTCAGAAAGGGAAGAAAGAAATCGGGAGTGGTTCGTACTAGTAACAAGAAGCTACTAGTAGCAAAGGGCATCGCTACTAGGAGCAAGGACCCTATTAGTAGCTTCTTGCTATTCGGTGTGTCTTTTTGGGGCGGTGTTTTTCTTACGGGTGCTACTGGGGTGGACCCTTACAGCTCGGGAGCTTGGTGTTTAGAGGTTCTATTTGGGCTGTCGTAGGAGTCGTGCCCTTCGGCTAAAGCACCTAGAAGTCGGAAGTCCTGAGTGTAAAAAAAAGCAACGAAAGCACATTTCATCACTTTTCATCACTTTCAGCAGGTTTCCGATTCGGAGACTGAAAGGAAACAACTCCAAGTTGTGCTGTCTATAGGTTCCAACACTAGGCTGAGACACCCTCAACAGAGAGTGGATGCAGGAGGAAGCCATCCACTATCGGTCACTATCATGTTGCTTCCATGCTGATCACCGCTGACTTCTAGCTTCTTCTCAACTTCCTCTGCAAATCAGTGTTTTTTTTTGGTCCTGGTACTCCTTTTCAACTGTTTGAATCGTCATATCAAAATTCCAGAGGTTCCTGTTCGGTCGTTTCTCCTTCCAAATCCCGTGTTTCTCCCAAATCACCCTCAGGAGTGACTGCAAAGCAGCCGATGTGGTGGTAGGATCACCCTCAGCCTCTTTCCACACAGGCCTTGGGTTCAGTTAAGCAGTTACCTGGACTGGACCTGCGATGGGGAAGACTGAAATTCATCATGTCATGCAGTGGATGACTTGTTCGAAATCCCGTTCACCCATTCTGCCAGTGCACGTTCATGTCGCAAGGGGCTAATTGGATCGAATTGAATCCACTCGAAAAGTGAAAACCCAGGTCAGCTGCCCTTTGTTCCTAGTAGCTTCTTGCTCCCAGTAGTAAGGCCAGGAGCTACTTGTAGCGTCCTCCTGCTCCTAGTAGTAAGGCCAGGAGCCCCGAACGTAGCTTCTTGCTCCTAGTAGCGATGCCAGGAGCCCCTAGTAGCGTCTAGCGTCCTCTTGTTCCCAGGTCAGCTGCATGTTTGCCGTTCTTTCCCATCTCCGGGCGCCCCGACCAAGCGCCACCGATCCGATTCCACGCCCGCAGCAGCGGGGAGCGCCATGAGTGCCAGCCTGGACTTCCACGCAGAACAACGTTCGACGGTCCGACCAGCACCCTAGTAACAAGAAGCTAGTAGTAACAAGTGCCACGCTAGTAGTAACAGGTGCCTTACTACTAGTAACAAGAAGCTAGTAGTAATTCATGTTGCTCCGTTCGTAGCGATGCCAGGAGCCCCGTTCGTAGCATCCCTTGCTCCTAGTAAGGCCAGGAGCCCCGAACGTAGCGTCTTTGCTCCTACTTTAACTGTGTTTTTGGGGTGCAAAGGTTTGCTGGTAGAGAGTGGTGTACCTATTCTAGCAGTTCTGTTCCCATTGCTTCGCTTTTTGGACCAACTGAGAGAAGGTCTCCCGTCTCCCCCTTAAAGGCCGTTGGTCTTGGATCGCGTGGGATTTTGTGCTGTTTTTAAGGAGAAGAACCCCATCACTCTTAGCGGGACTACACTCCTAAATTGTGCCGCGACACTGGCATGGGCACTTTTTGCATGCTTTGATGGGTCCTCAACATATGGCAGTCCAATTTGGGTCGTGTCATGAGGTCATGTCAGAACACCAGAGAAACAGGAGAGAACGGAAAGAACTAGCGGAAAAGCATGGGGCAGAATCGGGCGAAAAGCAATGAACAAACACGAAAAGCAAACAGAATTCTTGGCATCGGAGTTCATGGGATGGACCGGCGGGCGATCGAAAAAAGAAGAGAGGACAACGTGACAACGTGACCACAAGACCATGGACAGTCGAGAACAATGGTCACTGCCCAACCTCTCTCTGGGTCTCTTAGAGCAGAGGTTTTGAGTTGCACTGTGCTCAGTGCTGCGCCGTTGCCATTCGTTCGGAACTTCGGACCCCGGAGACGCTTCGGCATTTCGGCGGTTCGGTACGGGGGGCTGAAAAGATTTGGCTCCTGGCCTTACTACTAGGAGCAAGAGGACGCTACTAGTGCTTCAGAACGCCTGGCCTCTTAGATTGGGTGTAGAAGGTCTCTTGAATCTCTTAGGTTGGAGGAAATCGCTATGAGGTTGGAGGCCATTGCTATTTGTAGCCGAACCGCTCCGGGCGTCCCCGACGCCACCGCTCGCAGCGAGTGAGGCGAACACCTGCAGTGAGCGTGTGTCGGTGGCTTTGCCCTTTGGGAGGTCCAGGACCTCCTAATTACCATGATCTTGCTTGGGATAATGTATTCGTTTTGGTGTGTGTACGTATGTGTGGGGGCGGGGAAGCATCCTGGCTGTCCGCGGTTTTCCATCCAGGAAAGAAACCAAATGGTGCCTGAAGAGGAGTGTCGTGGTTGAGGGCGAAAATAGAACATCACTTTGTTCCGTCTGCAATCGTTTCCAGGTCACAGTAGCATCCCAACCTGCTGTGCACAGTTGCGAAAGCCCAGCCTAGCCTGGGCATCCCTGGACCCTGGATGCATCTCCAACCCAGCCTGAAGAGGTAAGTAGTGCCAGGAGCGCCCCGTTCGTAGCGTCCTTGCTCCTAGTAGCGATGCCCTTTGTTCCTAGTAGCTTCTTGTTACCAGTAGTAATGCCAGGAGCTACTAGTAGCATCCTTGCTCCTAGTCTTTCCATGAAAGCCAAATCAACCAAACCATCGTTCTCGAGATCCATAAGACTCGTGTGCAACACCTCACCTATCAGGCAGCGAGCTGCGAGCGATGGTTGCACCGTGCACCAGCCGAGGACTTCCGAAGTTAAGCCGGGTCTTCTGTGTTTTTTTGGAAAGCCCAATCACAACAGTGAATGACGATGCTTGACAATAAGAATCGGCTTACCCACTAGTGTTGATCCTGACTCAAGTGTGGCGCCTGAAAAACATGGCTATAGTAGAACTGGTCCAGGATGATTATAGTAACAAGAAGCTACTAGGGGCTCCTGGCCGTACTACTAGTAACAAGAAGCTACATGAAGCTACGAACGGGGCTCCTGGCATCGCTACGAACGGAGCGATCGGACGCTGGCGCCGGCCGAGGAACGAAACGGTCACCCGCCTCATGGCAGTCACACGGCGCTGTAAGCGCACGCGGCCAGGTGAGCGCATGGCGGTCATCGCGAGACACACGCCATGGACGATGTCAACGCTTCGAGAGCTTCGACGATATCGAGATGCACTTGCAGGGTATCGAAATCGAATACTATCGAATGAAGGGCTTGCCGTGGATGCATTGATGCTATGTAGAGCTGCTGTTAAAGAAAGGTGGGGTTGCCTGGTTGCCTCAACCGTTGAAGAATGACGAAAACAGTTGAAAACGATTGCACAGCCCAGCTTTGAAAGGCAAAGCTGAAAACAGGAAAGGCTGATCACACCTGGAACACCGGTTCTCACTCCTGACCGGTTCTCATCTGCTGCGACCGTTCCCTCGGGATTGGGCTCAGAGATCTTGAGGAATCGACATGAACCAAGCGTTCTCCCTGCCCGGCGACACTTCACTGATTCACTGTATACATTATAAAATACACCATCTAAGGCTCATGTAACTCATGTGTAACTCATGTATGTATACATCTAAGGCTCATACGTGTAACTTATAGTGGGCCCCGGCTCATGTAACCTTTCGACAGTTCTGCTTGCACCCACTCCACCGGGGCCCTTCTTCGACGCGCTGTGTGCGCGCGCGCAGGGCGCGCAGACCGCTGAGCGCGCGCAGGGACGGTGCGGCGCACCGTGGCATCCAGGTCTGAGTAGGTCCTGGTCGTTGAGTGGGGGTTCTTTGCTGATCAGGCCGAATGGAACAGGCCTCACAGAGAAAAAGGCTGGCAGTTGAGTTTGGTTGTGGGTGAACCAGACCGAGTTGTTTCCTCATGGTGAATCTCGATGAGAAGAGCCTGCCAGAAGCAGCACCCAGAGAGGGGTACTTGTTACTCTTTGGCTTTCACCAATCTCTCCAAAACACCTGTTAGGTTGGGTCTTTCACCAATCTCTCCGATGTCGCAGAGCCGGCCGCGATGGGCGCCGCAGTCGCAGTCGCAGTGCCTCAGTCCATCCAGGGAGTAGGAAGGCCAGGCGTAGTAGATGTAATTCAGCCTCAGTGATCGCTAGTGGGTTGGAGGCCATCGATAGGCCATCGATATTTGGTTGCATGCCATCGCTACTAGGTTGGAGACCATTGCATTCAACCTCAGTGATTAGTACTTGCACAATCTCAACCATAGAAAATAAGAGCTTGGTGTAAAGCTTACCAACTATATACTGACTACTATATTTATAAGTGGTTTGGGTATGCTCCATCCCCACTGTGGATATCCCTCGATGATGATGGTTGTCTTCCAGTCGGTAGGGTTTAGATCGGATTAGCTATAAACAGTTCACTGGTTACAAACGGGACTAGGTAGAGGGGACAAAACGATAGTGGCACGGTGACCCACTTCCAGTTGAGTGTCAGGGGCCTAGACACTGCAGTTGAAGTAACAGTTGAAGCAAGAATTTCTCCAGGTTTGAGCACCTGAGATGGGTCTTCTACCTCACCTTCTGGATATGTATCAGAGTAAGGAGAATCTACAGCTGTTCGAGTTTTCTCTTTGTCCTCTTCACTGTTCACTGTGTCTTTCAAGATAGGACCTCAGTTCTATTCTTTTGGTTTCTAGAGCTGAGGTCATGATTGATACTTGGGGCCGTTCGTATTTAACGGTCAGAGGTGAAAGTCTTGGATTTGTTAAAGACGGCTGATTTGGGGATGCACCTTTGTCTGGTCTTTGCGTCAAAATCCAGAGCAGGATCCTATCTGAGGCCAAGGTTTTTGGCCGATGTGCTTTCGTGTCGATCTTCGGCATTTTTCTGGAACAGAAAAGTTGGCAAGAAGAAGTTCCCCTTCCAATGGTCCAAACCTATGTAACAACCTAGTGAGAGTCCCCCAAGTGGTGCAAAAACACCTCACCAGCTTCTATAGTAGCTACAGCAGCTATTTGTTACTAGTAGTGATGGTCTCCAACCTAATAGCGATGGCCTTCAACCTAGTAGCTTCTTGCTACTACTAGTAGCGATGCACTTGTTACTATAGTAGCTTCTTGTTACTACT